CCACTGAAAAAAAAAGTTAGTGTCGAGCCTTGTGATATGGTTAGGGTTAGGATTAGGGTTAGGGTTAGGATTAGGGTTAGGGTTAGGATTAGGGTTAGGTATAGGGTTAGGATTAGGGTTCGGGTTAAGGAGTAGGCGTAGGCGACTCCCTAGACTCGTTAGTGGAGTAGGCGAGGTACGGTCCAGCATATTAGATAGTACCAGGGTACGTTCCGGTATACCCCACCGTACCCAGGGTACGTTCCGGCAATACCCCGGGGGACATAGACCCTCTCAGCGACACTGACAGTGACACTGTCACTGTACGTAGGCCTAGTCTGTACAGACTGTAGCACCCCGGCCACAGGCACTTGGAGCGTTTCAATAAAATATAATGCTAAATAAATATGAAATCTATTTACTACCAAAGTCTTAATGTTTCTCTTTCACCTATTATTAGTATTATTGCCGACAATTTCCTGTAAATGCCGTCCAAATGCTCATCTATGATCTGCAACACACTGTCACATGCTGGCCGCCGCGGTTCGAGGATAGAGAACATGGGTCCCAATAAAACCAATGTCATTTACATCAATATAAATATGATATTATATCAATATAATAGGTTAGGGTTATGGTTAGGGTTATTGTAGGGTTAGGGTTAGGGTTAGGCACATTGTTTTCATTGGGACCCATGTTCTCTATCCTTGGGCCCTGGCCGCCGCACGCTAGATACGATAATGTAACCCAAACACAGGATAGGGTTACAACGCGAGCCTATTCTTTTCTTTGGCTAACTTCGACTCCAAGATTGAATGTATCATTGGATGCCTGCTGTCAGTCGTGACGTCACGACAAAGTTAGCCGAACGCTATGCGCATTGGGAATTTGTACGTCACAGGTCAACAGAAATGGCGCTCGAAGTATCGCCGCTCGTCACTTTTACTCGAATTTTTGTAACAGGTTATATTAGTTTAATGCAGAGTATTGTGATACATAGTAATTAAGTTCCAGGATAGCAGAGAAGCGTTCGTGTTGAGAATAAACCCAGTTTGGAAGTTTTAGTCTCTGAAAACGCACCAGTAAACTGCCTGAGTGATTCACTCAGGGGTTCCTCCAAAGAAAAGAATAGGCTCGCGTTGTAACCCTATCCTGTGTTTGGGTTACATTATTGTATCTAGCCGCACGCTAGCTGATGCACACTGACACATAAATATATAGCAGGTAGGAAAGCGTGCTGCCAAAATTCGCTCGACGCTCGCTTGATTTCATACGAATACAACACAAATATTCAACCATTCTACTCCATCTTTGTTTCTATTTGAAGAACAGTGTTCACTTGTTATAAAAACATACTGTCTCTGTTCGTAACTGAGCTGTGTCACGCGAAATCACACAAGCCTGACGAAATTCTCGCGTTCGCTATATTAACGCAAATATTTACATGATTTATTTACAACAATTTAATAACAACAAATAATTTTTACAACAATTAATTTCTTTTTCTTTTTTAATAGGGTTAAGCCCCGGTCACAACGGATCGTACGAAATTTTGTCGTGGTAGACCCATAAAATATTTGTCGTGGCAGGGGGGTCCAGGGAGTCCGGAATTTTTCTGACCCCCCCTTCGCGTTCTCGCAACTATGGGTTACGGTTAGACCCCCCTGGTACAAATCCTGTACACGCCCCTGCCGAGCAAATTTCCAACATTGAAAAACGAACCCCCCCCCAATAGAAAGCTGCATGGCTACGGGCCTGCTAACCTGTATGATACAGGCGGTTCCGGTTCCGCTTCACTACACTTAGTGTTACTACACTTAGTGTACTACACTTAGTGTTACTACACTTAGTGTACTACACTTAGTTAGTGTAGTGAAGCGGAACCGGAACCGCCTGTATCATACAGGTTAGTGTAGTGAAGCGGAACCGGAACCGCCTGTATCATACAGGTTACGGGCCTGACGCGGGGGTTACGGCGGTTATTGACACTATTGTACCCCCGGGATTGTACCTAAAAGTTATAAGAGAGAGGCGCGGCGTAGACTGTGATTGGAAGACACAAAGTGTCAATCCTCGGCGAGCCTCGGCATCATGGCCGCATCACGCTACCTACAGGCTACAATACATGATATATGACCATGCAGTAGTTGGCGACAAGTGGTTAGATTTGGAGCTACTGGTCGTACATGGGCACCAATGCAATAGTACAATTATTTAGAGGAAAAATAACTATCGAATCGTATCGACAGTTACGATAGAATACGCTGAATGGCTGGGCGTCACCGAAATCGAGCACGCAAAAGGCAGCGTCAGCGACAGCGTCAGCGCTATGGTCAGCGTGCTGAAAACAATATGGCGACACCATCGTAAGTAGAAATTTTCTTACATCTGCATGTTTTATCATTTAGCCGCAATTTATCAACCAAGTAGTTGTAGGTACCTATAGTTCTTGCTGTTGATTATGGTGATAACTATTTGGTGCTCAGATGTAGGCCTATCGGAATATTGCAGCTAGGGCCCTAGCTAGGATTTTTTTTTCTGTAGCCAAACAATTAGCCAGAATCAATTTTCATAATAGCCAATTTGGATTCCTGTTAGTGTTAGCCACATCTGTAGCCTAACATTTTATGAACACAAACAGGCGATAAATAATTTTTCTTTTCTTTATTTTTTCACAAACTTTTATATGCATGAAGTACAAAACTACACTTATTTAATGCAAACAAACTATTATTCACCACATGTCTATGACTGAGACACTAACACTATGATTCACCACCATGACTCTGACTGGCTGACAGAGACATTCAAATTGTCTGAATTTTTTTTCTTCACTGCTGGCAGGAAAATTCTCCTATCTTTTTTGGCACACCACTGGACATAGCACTT